CCAGAAAGTTGATGTGGTGTGACATCACTGACCTGATGGTGATAATCTGGCCAAAGTCCAGCTCGTAATGATTAACTTGTGCTATGAAGATGGCCGCCACGGCCTCATACAGGGCAGTGCCGTCCATGTTGATAGTAGCGCCCACTGGCAGCACAAACCGTATGATGCGCCGGTCGATGTGATTATTCTCTAAGAGGCACTTGAAGGTTATAGGCAAAGTGGCAGAGCTGGAGAAAACAGAGAATCAAAAAAACAGAAATCCAAAATAACTTCTAATCAGTTCATTAAAGCAACAGAGTCAAACTTTTAAATGATGATTTAGTATCTTTTTTTAACCTGGAGGAAGTCGCCAGAGCTATGAGCAAGGCTTGCAGGATTCCTCGAATGTAAACGATGGGGCTCTTTTTAGTGATGAAGAAATACATGGCAGGCAGGATGAACAAGCCATGTAACACCAAACCAAACACCACGGTGATGGCATAAAAACCCAGCTTCTTCCCCATTGCAGATGGATCACTCATCTCCAGGATTTTACCGGCCACCAGGAACACAATGCCGAATGGAAAATACCTGGCAGGACGAAGTGCAGGAACAACCTAAAGTCAGACAGTTCTGTTACGGATGCACACAATAGTATTTAAGTGTTTAAAATTAAAATCCACCACGAACTGTGATATTATTACATCATTTTATTGAAAATGGCTTTCAACTATTTTTTTTTCTTTACCTTCATGTAAATAGAAAATTTGTTTATTTACACTTCATTTTAAAAGGGTTTTAAGCAATTTGACTTGCAGTGAAATAATTCTTAATAAATGATTTTATTCTGAACTGATCTCATGACTTTATTCCATATATGTGCCGAGTTAATTGTTTCACAATGATTTGTTGACTTAACACACAGACGTGTTCTTAAAACAACCGAAAGTCCAAAAGTTAGTTGATTAAAATAAAAAAAAACATGATGTCACAATATCTTTTAATTGCATAATAACTGGAACTCTTGAGGTTTACCAAGGCTGGACCAAAAAAAATAAAAAATTAAACAACTATGTTGAAGAAAAGCCCTTTCTGGTCTCAAATGTCAGAGAATCATACAGACAGTTTAATAAGTGAAGCTGCAATCAAAATATGTTGATTAAATAGTCTGATTGGATGAAAAACAGATTGAACTTGAAGCAGATGAGCTGTGGGTGACATTCCTTCCAACTAAAGAAACTGAGACTTCAGTTCACACATGGTCACCAAACTTGGACAATGATAAAAAGAAAACAAAAAAAAACAGGCTGGTCTCAAGTTTTGAAGGTTCGACTCTAAATGTCAGAGTCTTGTTAAAACAACATTAAAGCTACAGTGTGTAATTTTTAGCGACATCTAACGTCCAGACTGCAGACCGCAGCAACATGAAGATCTCCCCCCACCGCTTCTCCCCCACCAACAGTACGGCAAGCGTTACGGGACAAAATGTCTTCCACGACGTCCGCATCACCTACCTTCTCAAGTGATGAGGTTTGGTTACATAGATCATTTTACAGATAGTACCGGTATTCTCAGGCATAATACTGCCATCTATTGTTCAGTACCGTCTCAGTTCATCTCTCTCAAGTTGCCGTAGTTACTTTCGCGATCTCGCAATCGCTAGTTTGTTGGCTCTGCGCTGCCGTAGCGCAAAGATGTCTGCCTCCATGGCTGCGAGACCCGCTCCTATGTAATTATAAATAACGAATTCTAAGGCAACGCAAATATTATGGTTAAGAGGCTGAGCTCGTAGATGATGATAAATAACATAGTTATGTATAATATATTACATTTCTGACTGTATATCCCTGTAAGTATTACACACTGTAGCTTTAATGCAGAGATCCATCCTGTTTTCTATTGATCTTTCAGACTAATGGAGAAATGGATTAGGCAATATTTCTTGGCAGGCTTCAGGCCCCTCTTTACCTGAGAGAGACCTGAGAGGGAAATGGAAGGTGGAGAAATTAAATTGGGAATGTTTGGAAAAAAAAACAAAAAAAAAACAAACCTATTTAATCTTTTCACATCCTTAGTTCAAATTGTTTCTATCTATCTATCTATCTATCTATCTATCTATCTATCTATCTATCTATCTATCTATCTATCTATCTATCTATCTATCTATCTATCTATCTATCTATCTATCTATCTATCTATCTATCTATCTATCTATCTATCTATCTATCTATCTATCTATCTATCTATCTATCTATCTATCGATATATACTGTTCCAAATGTGTCATTTGTAAAATATAAAGTCTGCAATAAAAGTGACAAATAAAATATGACATAAAAAATTCCTTTTTTTTATCTTAAAACATTGATAAAAGTTTTATTGTAAATTGCATTTTATTCAAATCCCAAACAAAACAGTTTTTCTCAGTTTCCCATTTGTTTGAAACAATAATGAAAGAAATTCCCTCCATATTCCTGCAGCTGCATCCTACGACAGTAGTAAACAAGTAAACCAGACATTTTTTTTTACATGTTTAGAACCCTGTTATATGTTGGTGAAGATTCTCAGTCACACATAGTCATTAAAAAAAAGTTTAAAAACAATCCTTTGGACTTGGTTTCCTAGTTTGAATATGATTCCCAAAATGGAGTGCAATATGCTGGGGAAGATTCTCAGTCATCCACTTCTTGAAAATTGAAAACAAAGTCCAATGGATTGCTTTTTAACTTTTTTGGAAGAAACCTGTTATCTTCCTTCCTAATCCATCGACCATCATCTTACTAAAATTGTGTCAAATTATTAAAATGATTCATTATCAATGCTTTATTTACTGAGGTAATTCACATGGTTCTATTTTCATATGTGTTGTCTGCACTGATATTCACACCTCCCTCTACCTGTCACTTAATGTGTTAAATTTACATTTTAAATCTTAAAAAAGACATTTAAAACAAATCTTAAAGTATCTTTGAAGAGCTCCTCACCAGATGACAATGGCAACGATTCTAAGAACGGCTTCGTTGAGACTCTGGCAGAAGTTTACCAGGGCGCTTCCGTTTGGACCCATTCTTCCCAACATAATACCTGTTAAAAACAACAATGTTCAGATCTAGGGTTGGAAAAGTAGAACATTCAGAATGTGTCTTTCTGTAAGATTTGATGTAAAAACTGAAACGGTCTGAATACGTACCCATGGTGGCTGAAAAGATCACAATACCGAGGACATTCATTCCATCACTTGTTCCTTCACGAGTGCGTACCAGCACGTCCGGAGGAGGAGTCAGGTCCAGAGCAAAGTTCTGGATGTCGCTGCTGTTATCATCCTGGATGCCATAGATCAGCGGCCTCCTTGTGGTGGACTCTGACTGGACCACTGTTGGCTTTGGCTTCATTATCAGCTGGCTTTTTGTTTGGTACTGTTTAATGACAGATAAGGACCATTTTAATAAGGTTGGATAAATCCTGTTGAAACTCACTTCTGGATCCTAGTGGTTGTAAACCAGTACATGTACAAATGAATAGCACTTAAGTAGATTGTTAGTAAATTTTCTGATATAGTCATTTAATTGGAATCACCTGGAAGTTACAGCTTTATTAAAAATAAATTTATTCAAGCATGTTTCTTGGCAGAATTGGATATAAAAAAACTGCACTTTAAGGTCATAGCGACCACATTTCATTTAAAATACATATACACTCACCGGCCACTTTGTTAGGTACACCTGTCCAACTGCTCGTTAACACTTAATTTCTAAGCAGCCAATCACATGGCGGCAACTCAGTGCATTCAGGCATGTAGACATGGTCAAGACAATCTCCTGCAGTTCAAACCGAGCATCAGTATGGGGAAGAAAGGTGATTTGAGTGACTTTGAACGTGGCATGATTGTTGGTGCCAGAAGGGCTGGTCTGAAAATTTCAGAAACTGCTGATCTACTGGGATTTTCACTCACAACCATCTCTAGGGTTTACAGAGAATGGTCCGAAAAAGAAAAAACATCCAGTGAGCTGCAGTTCTGTGGGCGGAAATGCCTTGTTGATGCCAGAGGTCAGAGGAGAATGGCCAGACTGGTTGGAGCTGATAGAAGGGCAACAGTGACTCAAATAACCACCCGTTACAACCAAGGTGGGCAGAACAGCATCTCTGAACGCACAGTACGTCGAACTTTGAGGCAGATGGGCTACAGCAGCAGAAGACCACACCGGGTGCCACTCCTTTCAGCTAAGAACAGGAAACTGAGGCTACAATTTGCACAAGCTCATCGAAATTGGACAATAGAAGATTGGAAAAACGTTGCCTGGTTTGATGAGTCTCGATTTCTGCTGCAACATTCGGATGGTAGGGTCAGAATTTGGCGTCTACAACATGAAAGCATGGATCCATCCTGCCCTGTATCAACGGTTCAGGCTGGTGCACTGCAAAAACAATCCAGAAATAAGTAAAAAATGGCTTAAATTAAGTATATTTAGCCTTAATTTGAGCAGGTAAATAAGATGATTTGCCAATGGAATGAGTATTTTCACTCTTAAAATAAGATAGTTAGATAATATTTACTTGAAATAAGACGATAAAATAGTTTTTTCTTATTTTAAAAGGAAATTGTCTTGTTCCATTGGCAAAGTGTCTTACTTACCTCCTCAAATCAAGGAAAAACACACTTATTTTAAGAAAAAATAACTTATTGAGATTTATATTTTTTGCAGTGTGGTGGTGGTGTCATGGTGGGGGGAATATTTTCTTGGCACTCTTTGGGCCCCTTGTTACCAATTGAGCATCGTTGCAAAGCCACAGCCTACCTGAGTATTGTTACTGACCATGTCCATCCCTTTATGACCACAATGTACCTAACTTCTGATGGCTACTTTCAGCAGGATAATGCGCCATGTCATAAAGCTGGAATCATCTCAGACTGGTTTCCTGAACATGACAATGAGTTCACTGTACTCAATGGCCTCCACATTCACCAGATCTCAATCCAATAGAGCATCTTTGGGATGTGGTGGAACGGGAGATTCGCATCATGGATGTGCAGCTGACAAATTTGCGGCAACTGTGTGATGCCATCATGTCAATATGGACCAAACTCCCTGAGGAATGCTTCCAGCACCTTGTTGAATCTATGCCACGAAGAACTGAGGCAGTTCTGAAGGCAAAAGGGGGTCCAACCTGTTACTAGCATGGGGTACCTAATAAAGTGGCCGGTGAGTGTATATTAAATCCACAGAATATCTAGAGCAGTGCAGAAAAGTATAAATTTTTATGAACATTTTTTTCTGATAAATGTTGACGGGTCCAAAATATATAAATATTAACTTCTGGTTATGATACCAAAGCCGCCAGAAAAGTATTGTGCACAAGTACTTAGCATTAGCATTGGTAAAACAGCATCTGGGTGGGAAACATTACGTTATAGGGTTAGAATGAGAGTGGGTGTGCACAAGTGCACCATTACTAAAATTGTACCTATAACCTTTAAAACGGTTGCAGTTTAGCAGATCTTTATTTCAGCAAAAAAAAAATTTTAACTACTCTGTATATTTCAACAAATTTTTACAAAACCCTTAATCAGTGATGGGCAGTAGCGCCGCTATATGTAGCGAAGCTATTAGTTTAACTACATTTTCCAGTAGCTTGACCGTAGCGTCGCTGCTTTATTTATCAAGTAACTTTCCTGTAGCGACGGTATTGTTTTGATCAAGTAGCGACGTAGCGTCCACAAACGCTACAAAATCCAGGGCAAAACTAAGAAATGAAACCAGGTTTTCTATTTCTAAACAACAATCAGCCACAAAACTACTGTAAATAGCAGTTTCAGCTGATGCTCTTATAAGTGGCGTAGTAGCACAGGCACACTCAGTAGGGTTAAACAAGCGCACCCTTTCCGAGGCTGTCGTTCTATTGGCTGGAAAGGTTGCTAGGCGACGATCCAACTGCAATCTGAGAGAGCAAAACAAATCCGCAAGCAGAGCCTACGGGTTTGCGAACGTAACAGAGCGCGGTTTGTGCGCGAAGAGAAGGAGGCAAGCGAGAGGAGAAAATATCTGTGCAAGAAGCATGAAATCTGAGATAAGAAACAAAGATTTGAGAGAGAAGAGAAAATATTTGAGAGAGAGTGCATGTTTTGAATGTGAGCATTATAAGTTTTGAAAGCAAGAAGATGAAATTCTTTTCTCTAATTGAAGTTATGTGCTCTTGCATTATGGCAGGATAATTCTCCCATATCTATGTGCCACTATACTCTAATTAGAGTGCAGTAGTCAAACTTAGATATTGTATTTTCATGGCCTAGTTTACCTGACAGGATGTTTACATAAATCTGTTTTTAGGCTGTGCACAGATAAGATTTTTTATGGAGGGACATCTCTACCGTATATAAATTAAATACATAAATAAATAAATGCTCAATAAATAAAAAAATAAGCATTCAATTAATTGCCTCCAAAAATACAATGAATAAATATGTAGGTAGAAATTAAATTATATGGTGAGACATATATATATATGTATCTCTTAATTAGCTTCTTTATTTTTTCACCTTCTTTTGTAAACAGTTTTGTCTGTTACTTGAATCCACTGTTTAATTGAGGTCTTTTGTAGGGTTTTGTTTTCCCTAGAGATGTCCATTGAATGCAAACTCATAGCCATGTCTCGGTGTGTAGAACACTACACAGTACCTTTAATTTGGTTCTAATAACAGCAGATTGTTTACTAGTTTGTCTACTAGTAATTACTTTAGTTTTTTATTTTAATATGCTGATCATAAAGCCATGTTTACACTGCGTTATGTCATTGGCTGATCTTTAATAAATATTTTAACCAGTGCATCAGACTCATTTTGAATTGACATTAGGTTGGTTCAACGTTAAGTAGCTTCTGATGTAGTTAAGCTACTTTTAACACATTAGTGTAACTTAGCTTGCTATAATTCTTAAGGTGGTAGCTTTGGTGTAGTGAAGCTTAATTTATTGTTGAGTAACTGATAGCTTAGCTCACTACAATGGATAAGTAGCTTGCCCAACACTGCCCTTAATGCAGTCGAAGAGGTGTATAAACCCCACTAATTAATACCAATGTTAAAAAAACTATGTTCTGCAAATAAAAAACATTTGGAGTAGTTAGTAGTCAGACCTGAGTAATGATAACAGTAATAATATTTACTCACAATAAAACACGTTATTTAATGCTGCACTAATGATCTTGTAAATTATTTTTAGCATCTGCACTAAATAAGATTAGATTTCAGACCAACATCCTTTGTTGATGAAAGACAAAGATGAAGCAAAAAATACGAGTAAAAGGACCAGCTTAATTCTTCTCTGTGCTTTTTCCTCAATAAAGAAGCTTTTTATGATTAATGCATCAGCTATATTAATGTATATAAAACAATATTAAGGTACAAAAGTATTTTAAAGTCTACAATTAAAGAGAAACATTTGTACGATCACTGCACTATTAATAATGTTCTCTGTCATATCTTACCTGCTGAAACGTAGCCTGCACCAGATTTGATGGGAACATATTTCTGCAAAGAAAGAAATATTTTCAACAAACATTTATCATAGCACAGTCCTATGGAGAGTTAAAGGGGACACATGAAATACATAAACATGGCATTAAATAAATAGGTGGAAAAATGTTTAAAAATTAAAGCAAATAAATGTACGATCAAATTACTAAATTTATATATATATATATATATATATTATTAAGCAAAAAAAAAGTCAATTAAACTATGAAATAGTTTAATAGAAAAATAAATCTAACATTTTATTCAATTGCAAAAATTAATACTAATTTTTCTTAAATTAACTTACGTTTACATTTTATTATCATACCTAGTAGTTCTTTTTCTAATGGCATCTGCTTAGTAGACTTATGAAATCGTATAAACTGTCAACTTTACCCATCAAATTCAGTGGGTGGGACTAAAGCCCCTTCCATAGGAACCCTGACATGTGATTTGTGATGGACTGCTCCATAGTTTGGTTTGTAAAAAGTTAATGAAGGAATATAAGCCGGTGTTAGACAGCGTGCAGGGCTAACATTACACTACAGCAAGCTCTCACTATACTATATTTCACTGGTTCAATGGTTACTCTATTTTATCACCCAGCTTTAGCGGCTGAAAATGTTTGTTTCAGAGCAGGCCGTCCAAGAAAAGACAAAACTGAGACAATATACAGTAACTGGAGGCCTTGCTGCCGATGAAGGCGCTTCCCTTACAGTTAGGAAAAATAGAGTACTGTTAATAAATTGTAACCCTTTTTTTAAATTATATCTACCTTTTTCAGGGATAATATTAACATGAAGTAAAAAAAACAGGGAGAAATTGCCGTTGCACAGTTAGAAACAGAGGTTAAGGTTTACTTGGAGGGGGGCCTAGTACCCTCTACTTGACTTTGATGGATGTGTGATAGTTTAAATTAATTCATGGTGTGCTCCGGCACAAAAAATCTGAAGAAATGTATGAAATAATATCATTTTATTCACTTGAAATCAATATATTTAACTGAAGCCCATATGATTAATTATATTTTCATTAAATCAATTCTGTATTAATTTGCAGTTTAAATAAATGAATGACACAAAGCAGAGTCATACACACTCAGCTTTGTTTAAAAAAAAATATAAGTATAAATAATATAACCGCGGAAGTCTGGGGGACAGTGATTGGCCTACATGTTATGAATGCTGGCGTACCATAAAGAATAAATTATGAACAGTTTCAAATGATGTAATAATGTAAAATCAAGGGGTAAAAAAACCGGTGTTCCCCTTTAAGTAACGAGCAAACGAAGAAACAAAGGTGCGGGGAATCTACTAATTATCTGCTGACGGCAAACAATTAAACAGGGAATAAAGTACAAGAGAACCTTTCCAAAAGTACTTCAATAATAAAAAGTAATAGTTGAGAAAAACTCAAATACAAACTGTCATGATCCTGCCCTTTTTGAGTGTTCATTTACATTTTAATTAGGGGAGTGTTGGCCTGGTGGTTAGAGCAGTGTGCATGTGCTCTGAGAAAGTTGGAAGTACCCGGTTCGATCCGCACAGCCTCCACTCTTGGTCTCTCAGTGAGACCCTTAACCCCACACTGCTCCCCAGGTGCCGCACAATGGCAGCTTACTGCTCCCCAAGGGGATGGATTAAATGCAGAGGTAAATTTCTGCAGTGTGAGGATAATAAAGTCAATTATTATTAATTTATGTTGTTTCTGTTTCATTTTATGTCATTGTAGTTGTTTTCTAGTTGTTTTTAAGCAGTGTTGTGATTTTTTTCATTGCTCTCTGTTTCCCATCTTATGCCAGTTTCCTTTCCCCTCAGCTCCCTTCTGGTTACTTCTGTCCACACCTGCTCCATATCTGCTCATTAGCCCATTCTTTGTTCTGTTCCCCATATATGCACCATCTCTGCAGTTCCTCATTGATGGTTTCTTGTTGCATCTTTGCTTTGCTCCTTGTGTGTGTTTCTCCCTGGCATCTCCTGGTTTTTGGATTATTTATTTTGTTCCTGAATTTGTGCTTCTGTTGTCATTGTAATTTAAATTAAACCTGCTAAAACTCATCTCTGTGTCCTCATATCTGCAATTGGATCCTCAACCAACCTCCACCAAACCTTGACACAAACACTAAGAAAAATGGAGGAGAAATAAATCAGCAAAATCTGGCAATAATACTATCGTAATAACAATCAATAAGAAAATGACTATGACAGAATATGACAAAACCATAATTTAACCTGCAGGACTTGGAAAAAGTCTTATCTCCTTTCCTTCTTTCCTTGTCCTTTCTCAGGAAGTTAGAACAGACTGGACTTTCTTCTCAGCTGCGCACAAACCTCTACAGAGCAACAATTAAAAGCATCATGTGTTTCAAAGATCCATTGCCATATTGGATCTAATCCCACCCACCCCGGGCAATGCTCTGTTAGTGCCAGTTCTGCAAAAAGACCAGCTGCATTTACGATGAATAACTGGTCTCTGGAAAATAAAAACTAACCTTGTTTTTGAATGCATAGTCAGATTGGTGAAGTGAGAGCCCGTTAAGCCTTTTAATAAGGCAATAAATCCTGCTGATTAGTCTGCTGAATGGAAACACTCTCTAAACATGTTATTCCTTGTCCCAGTTCATGCATACTTTTCTAATGTTTCATTCAAGCTTTTGCTACTTTCTATCATTGAATAAGAGACCAAAACTAATTTTCTATGACATCCAGAAATTGCCGAAAATATAACATTTTCACAATTTAAAAACAATTTTATTTTAAGATGAGAGGTGGATGAACTAGCCAAAAATTGTATTCAAGTGAAAGTAGCAATACTTCAGCATAAGTGAAACAAAAAAGTAGCCAATAGACAAATTAGTAGTAATAGAAACTGATTTAATATCTGAAAATGGGAGACAGAACTACGAAGTTATGTACAAATTCTGGTATTTAATTATAGAACTACAATAAAACAATACACAAAATAAAAACTAGAAAAATATTAAAAAGAAAATCTGGTAAAAGGAAACACTTTTTACCTAAAACTTATTAAATCGATACCTACAGCTGGATGAAGAAAATACTGTACAGTAACTTTACGTTACCTCAAAGTAGCTCAATGAGCTCAGATGGAAAACATTAAAACAACAAAGCTTGTTTGCCTGCAAAAAAACTCACTTAAAAATCAATCAGGGGTGTTTATCTCTCTGGTACATTTCTGTTTAATCAACTCTGATTTCTATTTGATCGAGCTTCTCAAATTGATTAAAGTGGCCAAAATTACCCACAAGTTGTGATACTTCTTAATACTAATACTTAAGTAAACAGCCTTGTGCAGTAATATGCTCCTCAATGTATATTTTTTTTACAAAGGTAAATTACAGTAACTGAGTAATTATAGCTGATTACAATCTACATCTAGTAAAAATGTATGATTATATTGCCAAAAGGATGATTGATTTCCAGTAAAAGTAAAAACAATTTACATTTAAACTATACAATGTTCTCCAAAATCAGGGATTTTAACTACATAGTTGCATGCAGCTGCATTCAATCTGATAAGTTCAGACCAAACGCAGCAGGAGCAACAAAAAAGCGTATGCTGCTTCATTTTTGATGATTGTCCACATTAAGGTCAGTCCAGATGTCCAGTAAAGTGTGTCCAGATGCGTCCAGTGCTTCTGCTGCCCCTGTGTTCAATGGCAGCGAGCAGCTTTTCTATATTTGCTGTGATCAGTGGATGAAAAGTAGTATTAATATGCAGGGCTCGATGTTAACCATCGCCCGATCTCCCGGGGGAAGTAGTTTTCATTGTTGGGAGAGTACAAATTTCATTGCATTTGCCCGCTGGGCAAGTGCAGTGATTGCAAAAAAACATTATTTATCACTCAAAATTACTTTAAAATCACCGACATTCGATGAAAACGACTCAGAAGCGTTGCCGGCTCCATTTTTGTTGATTTGTACAGGTTCTCGCGTGATTTGAAAAAGCCGGGAGATTTTCTGCCAGTTGGCGTGATTTTTGTCCACCTAGCGGTAATTTTGATGTACTGTAGTTACCAAAATGGCAAACAAGCTAGAAAGCGCTATTATATGGCAGTCTTGTGCACAGTGATGCAGGTCATACATTAAAAAATGTTCATTATATTTTTTTCTCTCAGACATTGGAGTGGTGCATTTAAATGTTATAGATCTAAACATGTTAGATTGGTGACCTGTTATGTTGTTATTATTGTCTTGTTGCTGCATTTATTTTGTCAGGGAAAACTAATCCTGAGTCAGTTAAAAGTCAGGGAATTCTGAAATGATGTCAGACTGTGGAAACCCTGAATAAAATAACTATGTATAATGATTCTCTAGAAAAGTCACATTATAGTAATAGTATTATCTTGGATAAACATACCGTGACTCTAAAATAAAAGTTATTTATTTGTGTCATTGACTTCTGTCTTGTGATTTATCTTAAGTTTTTAACCTGTCAAGTTTTTTTTAGATTTTTAACATTACAATTTATATTTTTCCAAGCACACAACAGTTTAAAGAAAAGTTTAGTTTGAAAAGAATGTGCAGGAAGAATTGAAAAGCATGTTAACATGGTAATGTAGGCTTGAGTTCATTATCTGACGCATGCAGATACACACCAGGAACCTGGAAACTTAAAAAATACTGAATTACAAAAAACATTTAATAAACAAACATGTTTTATTGATATATATATACAAAAATGAATATTAGGAACTATACTTATCAAACATTATACTGGGCAAGTAAAAATTGTTTCTGGGCAAATGAAATGTGAAAGTCACTTGCCCAAAGGGCAAGTGGTAAAAATCCTTAACGTCAATCCCTGATACGTATAAAGTGAGAAAGTCCACATGAAAACTTCATCTTTGCAGTCAGTTAATCAAGTTTACCATCCTGCCTTCAAATATTATTTTGCTGTCTGAGCCGCTTGGAGAACCTCTTCACGCCTCTTCACGGTCTCCGCTACTGTTCGCGGCAACTGGAAGGTACTTTTCACTTATGTGATCAAACTGC